CCCTGAGGTCACTGTCCTGCGGAGCGGCCAGTGGTGGGGGCGTGCTGGGTCTTGCAATCCCAGCCCTGCTTGAGATGGGGGCCTGGAGGAGCTGACCCTGCCTGTCTGGTGTCCCCTTGTGTTGCCAGGACAGCGGCCACCCTGAGACGCTGATCAACCTCATCGTCCTGTCCCAGCACCTGGGCAAGCCTCCCGAGGTAGGACCCTCCCCACCCTCAGCCAGGTGCAGGAGTGTTTTCCGGCCCTCACGGTGCCAGCCTGGGGTGGGCAGGGGTCTCTGGTGTGGCCCCGGCTCTAGAGGGAGCTTGGGGCCTCAGGGTCTGACCTTCAAGGTTGGCCTGGCCTTGGGGCAAAAACCTGTTCCCCACGAGTGGGTGCAGCTGAGATCGGCCCCAGGAAGCTGGCATTGCAAGTACTCTCCCAGGGTCCCCACCCTGGTCGGGGCTGCAGGTCAGCTGCTCTGTGGATCCTGCAGACAAGTGGGCTGAGGCTCTGGGCTCCCAGGCTGGGACTCGGCCTGTGCCACCTCAGGATTGGGGGCGGACACCAGGACAGAGAAACAGGGCTCAGGGGAGCAATCCTGCTGAGCCTACCTTGTCTGAGGGCGGGGAGGAGGACGCTGGGGCACTGCCCCATTTAGGTACTTTGCCCAGCCGGCCAGGGGCCTGCCTCAGGGCTTCATGATGGTCTGTCACCAGTTTCTCGAAGAAGAGCCCCCCAGACAGCCTCAGGGCTGGGGTGGTGCAGGACAGATAGGACGACTCTCCCACTCACCGCAGAGACATCCCCAGACTATCAGTTTTGGAGAAACAGAGCCAGACAGACGCCCCTAGCCCCACATGGTCAGGGCTGAGCCTGGCGGTTAGGGCAAGGCTGGAGGCGAGGGCCCACCTCTGAAGTGTCTCCATACGATGTGCCCAGAACAAATCCATCTCCTTTTCTAGCCCCGTGCTCCCTGACCTGCCTTCCACTCCTGGCCCCTTGCCTCTCCCATGGCCTGGGTCGCTGCCCAGCCCACATCCCTGAACCTGGTACATGCTTCACCCATGTGCCAAGTGCAGGCTCTGTGCCAGGTGGTGCTCCCCACCCGCCAGGGTCCTCTCTAATTCAGCATGGTTCTGGGGCGGCAGGGTGTGTTGGAGAAAATGTGGGGAAACCAGGGCTCTTGCCTGGGTCTGGCCCAGGTGGCCCTTGTTTCACCCCACTCCCTACCCTGCAGGTCAGAGCCACCATGGAGTCCCCATATTTAGCTAACCTTGCCTCCCCCACAGGTGACAAACCGCTACCTGTCCCAGCTGAAGGACGCCCACAGGTCCCACCCCTTCATCAAGGAGTACCAGGCCAAGGTGAGCCTGTGCAGGCGGCCCATCTCTGAGCCCTAGACCCCCCAGGCTCTGCCAGGCAAAGCGCAGAACTCGGGGCATGGCTCACAAGTTCTCCCCTTTCTCTCTCTGCCCACCCCCATCCCCCTTCCCCGCCCCCTATTCACGTTGAAGGAAAACGACTTTGACCGGCTGGTGCTGCACTACGCCCCCAGCGCCTGAGACCGGCCCCAGACGGGTTTCCGGAGCTGTGGGGATACAAGGCCAGGGCTGTGCTGCCCTCTCCACCGGGCACTTGCCGTTTGGCCAGAAGCAGAGGCTGGAAGCCCAGCCCCGCCCCTCCTTTTGTCAATAAATGTCTCCACTCCAGGTATCCCCACCGGATCCATGTTTGCTCTGGTCATTTTGAGGGGAGCATGTGGGAACAAAGGCTCAGATGGGAGGGGCCTGGGCACCATCACCCAGGGCTGTTGCTGGGATGGGGCCCTGGTGACCAGGGTCTGTGAGCAGCAGCCGTACAGACTCCCCTGCCCTCAAACAGCCACCTCATGTTGCTGAGCTGCAGGTTGCACAGCCATGTCCCCCAAGCCCAGTTGGCATCCAGGGAAACTGCAGCATAGAGAAGTCACAGCCATCACAAGGGGCACCAGGATTTAAACGCAGGACCCCTGGGTGGTCTGCAGGTGGTGAGGGTGCCAGAAGCACTCAGGCTCAGCCAAGTGGGGAGGGTGTGTACCGGGTCCTCACAGGAGTAAACATCAGCTGCCCAGAACCCTGCTCCTTGCTTCCCTGTGGTGAGTCATGAGCCGAGACAGACCCACTGTGGTCAGGGCTGTGGGTGCCGGAGCGCTGCTGTGGCCAAAGCACAGAGCTCCCTGCCCAGAGAGAGAAATTCATAGTGAGCGCCCCTAGATGAGAAGAAGCTAAGGGCTTCCCTGGTGGCGCAGTGGTTAAGAATCTGCCAACGCAGGGGACACGGGTTCAAGCCCTGGTCTGGGAAGATCCCACACGCCACGGAGAAACTAAGCCTGTGTGCCACGACTGAGCCTGCGCTTTAGAGCCCGCGAGCCACAACTACTGAGCCCATGTGCTGCAACTCCTTGAACCCCGCGTGCCTAGAGCCCGTGCTCCGCAACAACAGAAGCCACTGCAATGAGAAGCCAGTGCACCGCAAAGAAGAGTAGCCCCCGCTTGCCACAACTAGAGAAAGCCCGCACGCAACAACGAAGACCCATGCAGCCAATCAATCAATCAATTTATTAAAAAAAAAAAAAGGTAAACAACAGAGGGAGGGAGGGGAATAGCCAGGGTCTCTGGGATGAGGTCACCATTGAGCTGTGTCCAGCAAAACAAGAAGTATCTGCAAGGACAGGTTCTGGGGCAACAAGCATCCTGGGCCGTAGGAACAGCCTGTGCAAAGACCCTGAGGCCACACTGGACTCAGTGAGCTGGACAGGGCTCTGTCTCTGGGCCAGTGTCTGGGTAGGAGAAGAAAGATACTTGTGCTCTGAGAGCCTGGCCTCGGAGGTGGCCTTGGGAAACCCTGTCCTTGATTGCCAAGACAAGACAGAGAGCAAGGGATCCCCAGCATCAGGACCCACCCCCAGCCCCTGCCTGCGTGGTGCGGATGCCCCAGGGCAGGGGCATCAGTCAGGGACGGTGGTGTGTAGGGGGAGTGAGGGCTGAGATGAGCTCCCTGGGGAAGAGGAGGCCTGCCCTTTCAGGTGGGGCAGGGTATGCGTGCCATCCTTGGGACCTGGGCAGCCCTTCACTGAGCCCCTGATGCCTGGGAGCTGTTTCTCAGCTGCCAGCACCAGGAGCCACTTTCTGTTTCCGCTCTGTACCCACACATTGGCAGCCTCCTATCTGGGCCCTGCCAAAATGAAACTCAAGGCTGGGCTGGGGCTGGTGGGTGGGGGCACCTCTCCCATTACTGATGGGTGCCATAGTGACCAGATAGTGCCTGGGTGGGAGGGCAGAGGTGGGTGGTTGGGACGGTACAGGGCTGCCCCACAGGCCTGACTGGACCTATGAGGGCATGTCCAGCAGCCCGGGACCCCTTAGCCCCCGTCTGCTTGCTACGCTGTCTGTGGCATTAGTTACCTTAACGGGACAGATGAACCCCTGCCCACATGGAGTGCACATTCAAAAATAATGAGCAAGAGGTACAGCAGGACAGATGGTGACAAGTGACAAGGAGAAGACTGATGGGATCAGGGAGGTGCAACAAGCAGGTGACATTTGTAGGTAAAGCCTGAAGTTGGTGAAGGAGGAACCCTGCCAATACCTGGGGGAACAGCATTCTAGGCAGAGGGAACAGCCAGTGAAAGACCCTGAGGCAGGACTGCTTGGGGTGTTGGAGAGCCACCTCCAGCTATGAGGCCAATGTGGCTGGAACGGAAGGAGAAAGATGGAGAAAAAAGGGCATGAGGATAGGTTGTGAGTCACAGTGAGGAGATGGGCTTTTACTCTGCGTGATGGGAGCCATGGAGGGCTGTGAGCAGAGGAGGGACAGGTAGGTTTCCTCTGGCCTCTGAGCGGGGTAAGGAGGAGGCCGAGACACTAGGAAGGAGGCACAAGGGTGGCCGGGGGTTGAATAAGGCTGTACAGTTGCAGAGAAGTGGCTGGATTCTGGGAACATTTGAAGGTGGGGAAAATTGGATTGCTGCAGGACAGAGGGTGAGGGAAAGGAGGAGGGATGAGAGCCCCTTTGACCCCCCCTCTCTGTTTTCACCTGTGCACCTGAAGGTCAGGTCAGGCTGGTGGCCATATGGGACCCAGCCTGGCTCCTGCAGGGCCCACACTGATTCCTCCCACCTCGGAAGGCTGTGGGAGGACTCCTAGATGGGGAGAAGGGAGGGGCACAGGCGTGCGGGAGTCCCGGGGCTGGGATGAGGGCTACCAGTGGCAGGCAAGGTGATGTCCCCAAGAGGTGACCGGTGCCTTCGGTGATGGCCATTGGGGGCTTTGGACACAGGGCCTGGTCGGTGTATAGTGGAAGATCATGGGGGGTGGTCCCAATGAAGTGGTGGTCTTGATCCATCCTGAGTTCCCCAACGTGGGCACCCACTCCCTTGGCCTCCCTGAAGGCCTGTGTTAGCCCGCTTCAGGGAGGCCTGCCAGGTCCTCAGGGTCACAGAGAGCAGCAGGTGGCCCTCAGGCGGCGGGGATGGTGAGGCCTGAGTGTGGGACGGCAAAAAAAGCAGGCTGGAGGGCCTGGGAAAGAGAGAATCGCTGGTCCTGGCCATGGCCTGCTGGTGCTCACCTTGCCCCATGTTGCGGACACAGCCTGGTGGGGTGAAGGAGCCCAGGATGGGCAAGGGCATCCAAGCGGGGACGAGGGATGGGGACACGGGGCCGCTCCGGCCCTACTCGAGTTCAGGTCAGGCGGTCGCCAGGCAGACAACCCCTCCACCCTCCGGTAGCCCCCCTCCCCCCTCCCCCGCGCCTGGGTTTCCTCCACTGGAAAATGAGCCAGATCGCTGGCCCGCCTCCAGGACGCGGCGCGACAACGCCAGGACTCGTACGCCCGAGGTCGCCGCTGCTGTCTCCGGGGGACCCAGCTCCTGCGTGCCCCGGCCCCGCGTCCCTGCGGGGCGGAGCTAGCGCTGGCCCCGCCCCTCCGTCCCACGGGCTACGGCCAGCGCGCCCCCGGCCCAACTGCGGCGCGTGACGCGGGGCGCGCGGCTCCGGCGGCCACCGTGGGCGGGCGCAGACTGCCGGGACGGCCGGGAGCGGGCGGCATGGCGGCGGCGGGGACCGTGGCGGGGCCGGCGGGGCCTGAGCCCATGCCTAGCTACGCGCAGCTGGTGCAACGCGGCTGGGGCAGTGCGCTGGCGGCGGCGCGGGGCTGCGCGGACTGCGGCTGGGGGTTGGCGCGCCGCGGCCTGGCCGAGCACGCGCACCTGGCGCCTCCCGAGCTGCTGCTGCTGGCGCTCTGCGCTCTCGGCTGGACCGCGCTGCGCTCGGCGGCCACTTCGCGCCTCTTTCGGGTCAGTGCTGCTGGGGGTTGGGACGTGGGGGTCCCGGGCTGGGGGGCCGGGATGTTAGGGAGTCCGGGGCGGGGACCCAGGGCCGCCGCGTACCCCTTTATGTCTCCACGGACCAGGGTGACTGGAACGTGGCGAGCATCAGGCTGGAGGAGCTCGGGACGCGGAATCTTGGGCCGCCACGTGCCCCTCTGGGTCAGGGCGGGGTGGGGTTGCGAGTGGATGTGGGGGCGTGGCCGGGCTGGGGGAAGCCTGGGACGTGGGGACCCTGACAAGGGTAGGATGCTCAAGATGTGGGGGAACAGGTCCGGTCAGTGCGGGACAAGGGGGCCCCGGGCGGTGGGAGGGCCTTGTCTGCTGCGCACTCTTTCGGACCTAGCGGAGCTGGGGACAGAGGAGCGGAGGACACGGGCAGGGAAGGCTCGGCGCACAGTGGCTGCGTGTGTCTTGCGCCTCCGGGTCATTTGGGGCGCGCTCGGAACCTGATCGGTGTCCGGGGTCGGTGCGGCGGCGGGACTGGCTCGTCCGCTGCGACCGGGAAGAGGCAGGAGCTGCCCAGTCTCTGCCGCTCGTCTGTCTGGAGTCAGCGCCACCCTCCGATCAAGGGATGCAAAGGCCTGGGCTCCCTGGCCACGCCGTGTTCGCAGCCTTTGGGGGAGGTGGCACGGCCTGGGTCTACAAAGCTGGACTGTGCGGGCTCCAAGGGGTCGCCACCGAATTGCTCAGTTTCCGGCGAGCCTGGGAAGGCCACCTCCCCAGCTGGAGAGTGACTGTGGGGGTGACATTGGCGCCTGGCCTCCCTCCCATCCTTGGGGAGGGGTCGCTGCTATGGGAGCTTGTTGGAAAGCGTTTGGGCTCCAAGCTTGGCTGTGACTTCCCTGAGGACCAGCTGGGGTCACTCCGCCCGTCTGACTGGAGGTGGCAGGGGGTGCAGGGACAGAGTGCCTGGAGCCAACAAAGGGGCCTTTCTCTGCTGGCTGGGCAGAGGCTGGCCCTTGTTAAGTCAGGGATGGAGTGTTGTCTGGCTGCCATTGTCCCCACTCCCACCCCCATATGACCCACATGGGGGTTAGAGACCCCAGCCACCACGCTGCTCCAGGGAGGGGGAGGCAGGCATGACCATGGCCCCTCCGTAGGTGAGCCCTGGTCCCAATCTGGCTTTGTTGCTTCCCCCACCTTCCCAGTTTCCAGCTGGGCAGTGGGAGGTCCAGGAGGACGAGGGCCAGAGCCCAGGAGGGGGATATGGTTGCTCTGGGACTACCAGGGTGGAGCAGGCTTCCTCCCCACGTTCCTGAGGGAGCTGGGTGGGAGACAGCAAGGTCACGGGCCCCTCAGTTTTAGAATCCCCGGACGTCGGGCACTTACTCCAGTTCGTGGCTCGCCCTTCCCAAGAAACGGGCGGAGGGGCTGCCTCGTTCTCCAAAGCTCATCTTCTTGGCAGTCGTGTGGTTGCCAGGGGTTACCGGAGCTGGCTCTGGCTGTCTCCATGGCGACTGTTGGTGCTCCGGCCCCCTCAGCCTCGCCTAGGGGAGGGGGGCGGGGCTTGGCCGGCAGCTCTGGAGCCCCGCCCCCAGGGAGATTGAGGCTCTGCCCCCAGGACTCCAGGGGCGCTGGGCCCCTGAAATTCCTCCATGCCTCACCGTTGCATGCTCCCACTTCTCTTGTCCCCTCCCTGCTGTCCCCTCAGGTCCCCCCATCTGCGATGTCGTTTCCTTGACCCTCTTTCTTCCTCTGCCCCATCCTCTCTTCCTTTTCTCCCCTGAGTTCCCACGTCCTCCCCCACCTACCCACCCCATCTTCCCCAGCTCCTGTTCTTCTCTGATCTCCCCAATTCCTCCTCTGAGGCACCCCTTTCCCTCAAGTTCCTCCCCCATGGGGATTGCTAGGGTTCCAGCCCCCCATGTTCTCCCGGATGCGCCCGTATTCCCCTCCATGTTCTCTTTACAGGTTCACCCCCACTGCCCCTTCCAAGTCTTCTCTTTAATCCTTCCTCCTCTCTGTCATACCTCTAGCTCCCCCTGAGACCCCCCAAGCCCCCTAGTCCCCTGGACTGACTCCACTGGTCTCCCTTGCTTTACACCCACGTGTCCCCCTCCTCCCCTCACAGCCTCCCTTCACGATTCCGCCCAGGTCTCCCCCATCACTCCCCTCCCCTTGCGGCTGCGGCTGGACAGCTGGGCACTAAGTTTAGCCCTTGGCAGGTACACGTGGGCTCTGGTTACGTTCCAGGAAGCTGTAGGTACCGGGCCCAGCACTGCCTGGCCTGGGGAGTCCCTGGGCCTTGGTTTCCCTACCCTGGAGGAGCGGCCCTTGGCTCCCGATGCTGATGGCCGCCTGCCTTTCTCACCCGTAGCCCCTAGCCAAGCGGTGCCGCCTCCAGCCTAGAGATGCCGCCAAGATGCCTGAGAGCGCCTGGAAGTTTCTCTTCTACCTGGGCGCCTGGAGCTACAGCACCTACCTGCTCTTCGGCACTGACTACCCCTTCTTTCACGACCCACCCTCCGTCTTCTACGGTAGGGGACCTGCTGGGATGGGGCAGGTTGGGGGAGGGCCCTGTTCTGAACTCAGAGAAGGGTACATGGGGGAGCTGGACACTCATCAGACATCCCATGCTGGATGTCTGCTCTGAGACAAGGGCGATGAAGGGGCCCTGGGGCCAGAAAAGGGGGCACCTGTCCCTGTCAGGACTCAGGGAAACATCCTAGAGGAGGGGACCCCTTTTGTGGGCCCAGGCAAGCAGTCCAACACGTGCAAAGGCCCTGGGGCTTGTGTGAGCTTGATATGTGGGGACGAGAGGAGGATGGCGGGAGCTTGAGTTTCGTCCTAAATGGGATGGGTTTGTGGATTATAAAAAACCTTCTTCTGGCTGCCATGTGGAGACGGATGAATCTTGGGTAAGGAGGGGAGCTGGGCCCAGGGGTTAGGCAAGGGACCAATGTGGCTTGGACCAGCTTGGCAAGGAGATAAAGGTGGTGAGAAGTGGCTGCGTCCATTGATTGAATTCGACGTGGGTGTCATCAAGGCCTGAGCTCTGGGTGGGATGGGCAGGAATTTGACTGCAGTGTCCTCTGTTACCAACCGGCAGGCCGATGTAGAAAACTCAGTCTGCGATGAGGGGTCAGGCTTCTCTACTCTTGTGCTGACCACCCAGACCGTGTATCAGGGACACACATGGACGTGTTTCCTGCCGTGTTATATAAACATCCTGAGAGGGCTCCTGGTGGCACCAGGGAGCTGGGCATGGAACCCCTGCGCTGCATCTGTCTGTCTTGTGACCATGCTGCCCACGTGGCCACTTTTCCCGTGTAACACACGCACATTTCCCGTGTCATAAATCCCTAGAGGGGAGGTTTGAGCTGTCATTCAATTTTCCTTTATGAGAATGAACTGTAATTGAACTCTCTCTCTGTAATTGAAGTTTCGAGCATGGAGTTGCCTCTGGTTCCTGCTTATAAATTATGCTGTGATAGCACACTTGCAAGTTAGCTGCTTGTCTGCAGGCACGCTTATTGAGTACCTGCTGTGTACCGGGTGCTGTGCTGACACAACTGTGAGTAGGTCAGAGAAAGCCCCCCACCCCTGTGTTTTGGGGTGACAGATCTGTTAACGTGAAATAGGAAATCTGTTAACGGTGATAAGTGCAGATGAGAAAACTTGAGTGAGCAGAGGAGCATGGGATGTGGGGTGTCTAGGAGGTGGGGAGGAGGGCATTTTCTACAGGGATGGGGATGGTCCCACCAAAGGTGACTTTTGACTGGGGACTGGGAGGGCCCTGGGGCAGATGGGAAATGCAAAGGCCACTGTCTGACAGACATGCTACTGGCTGATCAGAAGCAGCAAGGAGCCCAGTCAGGTGGGGTGGGAGCAGTGGGGGTCTTTACCATAGGGCCACGAGCAGAGGGGGGACGTTGACAGGACGACCTAAGGGTGGGACTGAGGGCAGGAGCCGGTGTGCTCTGCCCAGGACAGGGCTGTGGTGGGGAGAGAAGTGGCTGATTTTAGAAATGTTTCGGGGCTTCCCTGGTGGCGCAGTGGTTGAGAGTCCGCCTGCCGATGCAGGGGACACGGGTTCGTGCCCCGGTCCGGGAGGATCCCACATGCCACGGAGCGGCTGGGCCCGTGAGCCATGGTCGCTGGGCCTGCGCGTCCGGAGCCTGTGCTCCGCAACGGGAGAGGCCACAACAGTGAGAGGCCCGCGTACCACAAAAAAAAAAAAGAAAGAAATGTTTTGAAAGCAGAATTGATAGGATTCACTGCCAAACCATAGGTGGGTGTGAGAGAGAAGGAGGAGGATGGGGCTGACCCCAGGGTCTAGGGGGCTGAGGGTGGGGCAGGTTTGGGGGAGACCAGGAGCTGGGTGTGGGATGCCCAGGTGGCTGATCCTGGAGATCGGGGAGGGGGATGAGGCAGGAGTGACATGGAGAGGCCAGAGCAGCAGGCGGGGTGTGTGTGGAGAGGAGGTTGGAGGTCCACAGACAGAGCCTGGCCCACCTCACCCCACAACATGCAGGGAGGTGCAGGCGCAGCCCAGATGGGGAATTATCTGCTGCCCTCTTCCCTCTGCCCCAGATCTGGGGCCCAAAGCTGGAGAGGGGGTGCTGTCCACTGTAGCCGTCTCGCCAGTGTGATAGGTGGAAAAGAGGGTGTCCCGTTTCCACAGAGAGTGCCTCCACGTCCCTTCCTTCTCAAGAGGGACAGAGACACTTGGCAGGTGTGGGGAGGCCCCCCTCTGCTGACTGCAGCACTGCCACAAGGCTGTGCACGGAACGTGGGGGGAGACCCAGTCAGGAGTGTGAGTTTTGCTACTGAGCCCAATTGGGGAGCCCTGGACGTGTTCAAGTGGGGGATGAGTGATCTGTCAGGTGTCTTTCATTTTTTTTAATTAGGTAAAATTTACATAACATAGAATTAACCATTCTATTTTATTTATTTATTTTTGGCTGCACTGTGCCACTCGCTGGATCTTAGCTCCCTGACCAGGGATCAGACCCATGCCCCCTGCAATGGAAGCGCGGAGTCCTAGCCACTGGACCGCCAAGGAATTCCCAGAATTAACCATTTTAGCCAGTCACAGAAACACAAATATTGTGTGATTCTACTTATGTGAGGCACCTAGGGTCGTCAAATCCATAGAGACAGAAAGTAGGATGGTGGGTGTCAGGGGCTGGGGAAGGGGGAACAGAGAGGGAGTGTCTAATGGGAACAGAGTTTCAGTTTTACAACATGGAAAAAGTTTTAGAGACTGGTTGCACAACAGTGTGAATATACCTAGTCCTACTAAACTTAAAAATGGTTAAGATGGTAACTTTTATGTTATATATATTTTTACCACAACTTTTAAAAATTCACCTTTTTAAAGTGAGCAATTCAGTGGCATTTAGCACATTCACAGTGTTGTGCAAGCACCATGTCTGTCTAGTCCCGGAACATTTCCATCATCCCGAAAAGGAGACCCGTCCCCATTAACAGCTTGCCATCCCCCCTCTCCCAGCCCCTGGCAACCATTAATCCGCTTTCTGTCTCTATGGATTTGCCTGTTCTAGACATTTCATATACATGGAATCATTGGTATGTGATTGCATGTGCCCATTTGTGTCTGGCTTCTTTCACTCAGCATAATGTTTTTGAGGCTTATCCACGTTGTAGTGTGTGTCAATGCTTCTTTCCTTTTTAGGGCTGCATAATATTCCACATTATGTGGATACACGAAACATGGATTTACCACATTTTGTGTACCCAGTCACCTGCTGATGGACATTTGGGCTGTTCCCCTTTTGATGATTGTGACTAGTGCTTCTGTGGACATGAGTATACAGGGGTCTCTTGAGTCCCTGTTTTCAGTTTCCTTGGGCACAGGCCAAGAGTGGACTTGCCAGATCATGGGGTCTGTGTATTCACAGCCATCGAGGCTGCTGTGGGGAGAATGGACAGTCGGGAATAGGCTCTGCAGGCCGGGAGAAGCTGGGGCAGCACTGGGAGGAGATGGCGGTACCTGGACCAGGGTGGGGGCAGTGGGGGCAGGGCAAGTGAGTGGAGGTGGGGACCGAAGAGGGACCCCCAGGTAGAGGCCCAAGTGGATCTCCGTTGCAGGCAGGACCAGGGTACAGACAAAGGACTGTCACTGAGGTGGCAGCATAGGAGGCATCTAGGGGATAGCTGGCCTCCAGGGGGACTTGAGGGTCTAGCTCCAGATCACTGAGGCTTGGAGGGGGAGGGATGAGAGACCAGGGATGGAGCCCAGGGAGGCCATTACGGGGGGTGGACAAAGAAGGAGCCACAGACAGCAGGGCACACAGTCTGGAGTTTTAGGTCGATTTGGGCAGAGTTCTTCGTGATGGACTGAGGAGGGGAGGCGGAGGTGGTGGAGGGAGCGATGTCCCCTGGGAAGGCACGAGGCCTGAGTGCAGGTGGGCGCATGTGCAGGGGCGAGGGGCAGGAGGTGGCCGCAGGAGGAGAGGTGGAGCCGGGCCCGCTCTGCGGGAGAGCCCGCACTCGTGGGCGTTGGAAAGTGTGTGATTTCTGCCTCAGCTTCTTGGCCGGCACAGCAAGGCAGGTGGCAGCCTCCACTGGTTTGGGGATTTGGTGGGAGGGCGGCACCCAGGACCGCGTGTCTTGAGCTAGCCTGGTAAGAGAAGACGGGAAGGGGGCCTGGGGCACAGTTGGAAATTCTGCAAAGGACCAATTTCAGGGTAGGAGCACCTTTTTCTGTAGATCTAGAACTGTTCTAAAAAGTAATGCCTATTCATAAACAATGATGGGTGGAGAATGGGTAACAGAAAACCAGCGACCAGAACAGCTGCAGAGACGCGTGGCACGCCCAGCACGCAGAGGACCCATGCCCGGCTTGAGGGAGTGCTCGGGGTCGCCTGCGGGTCCCAGAGGCGCTGCAGGTCCCTGACGGCACGGTCTGGCCCTCCCCAGACTGGAAGACGGGCATGGCGGTACCACGGGACATCGCAGTTGCCTACCTACTACAGGGAAGCTTCTACGGCCATTCCATCTACGCCACGCTGTACCTGGATGCCTGGCGCAAGGACTCAGTGGTCATGCTCATCCACCATGTGGTCACCTTGGTCCTCATTATCTCGTCCTACGCCTTCCGGTGAGTCCAGGAGGGGACAGGAGGGTGGAGGGCACTGGCGTGAGCAGTGGCAAGAGGCTGGCACAGGGCAGAGGCTAATGCCTGGGTGGGGGGTATGGGGGTGTCTGTGGGAGAGGTTTCTGAAGAGAGATTCTGAAGTGATGGGGCAAAACAGGTGCAGAGAGGCACCACCCTGCCCCCACCCCATCTGTCCCCCTCCAGCTCCTCCTGGATGGCAACCTTGGCCGGGTCACAAAGCAAGTGTTTACTGAACACCTGCCATGTGGCAGGTGCTGCTGGGAGCACAGCCGTGAACACAGTAGACAAAACGTGATGTTCCAGAGCCCACTGTGGCCACCACACGTGGTCATAGTGCTTCAAGGCAGAGCCTGTGCAAACCACAGCGTGCTGTGTGTGTAAAAGCCACCCTGATTCCAAGGATAAAGGAGAGTGAAAATATCTTGCGGTCCCTTTGTTATGTCATTTACATGTTGAATGACGACATTTCGGATATACTGAGTCAATTGGAATATATTATTAAAATTAATCTTACCTCTTCCTATTTACTTTTTTTTTTAAACGTTGCTGATAGAAAATTTAAAACGAAATTGGGATTAGCAGATGCAAACTATTATATATAGGATGGATAAACAACAGGGTCCTACTATATAGCACAGGGAACTATGTTCAATATCCTGTGATAAACCATAATGGAAAAGAATATAAAAAAAGAATGTCCATATGTGTATAACTCAGTCACTTTGCTGTACAGCAGAAACTAACACAACATTAAAAAGCAATTATACTCCAATAAAGATATTAAAAAAATAAAAATTGAACATGGAAACTCAAAAAAAATTTTTTTAAAAAGAAAATTTTAAATGACATATACAGCTCTTATTCTATTCATTTTTTTAAAATTTTATTTTTATTTATTTTATTTATTTATTTTGGCTGTGTTGGGTCTTTGTTGCTGCGCGCGGGCTTTCTCTAATTGTGGCTAGTGGGGGCTACTCTTCATTGCAGTGCGCAGGCTTCTCATTGCGGTGGCTTCTCTTGCTGCAGAGCACGGGATCTGTGGGCTCAGTAGTTGTGGCTCACAGGCTCTAGAGCACAGGCTCAGTAGTTGTGGCTCACGGGCTTAGTTGCTCTGTGGCATGTGGGATCTTCCCGGACCAGGGGTTGAACTGTGTTCCCTACCCTGGCAGGAGGATTCTCAACCACTGCGCCACCAGGGAAGCCCCTCAAATTCTATTCTTGTTGGACTAGCTATGCCCTCCAGCACAGTAGCTGCTGGCCACAGGTGGTCATGTCAACTTTAATTCAACTTAAATAAAATCACACATTCTGTACCTCAGCCCAGTATGTGGCTGGTGACTCCTGTATTGGACAACGCAGATTTAGAACATTCCTATCATTCTTGAAAATTTATTAGACAGCCCTGCTCTAGAGGGTAGAATCAGATAACAACCCCCGCCCCCCAAAAAAAACATGAAAGAAAAGAACTAACAGTTTGTTTGAAGGTGATCACTATGGAAAATTCAAGTCGGAAGATAAGGGCTGCAGAGGTGGTGAGGTTAGGTGGGGTGGTCAGGGGTGACAGGTGAGCCGAGACTGAAAGCTGGTGAAGGAAGGCTCCGGGAACACCAGGGATGTTAGGGGATGAGAACAGCCTGTGGCTGTCAGGAGTGCAGAGTGGGCATGAAGACGGTGACAGAGGTGCACAGCCACATCCAGCCTGAACTCAGGCACCAAGCAGTTGTGAGGCGGAAGGCTGGATAGGGACGGGGTCCCAGCCTTCGTCAGATCCTGGTGGGGGTGCAGCCTTTCCCAGGCAAGTCTGCAGTTTGCAGCAGTGTTCAGGTTAAATGTACAAACCTGGGAGCATCAGTGAGGCAGTCATGTTGAAAGTGTGGGGTATCTGGACACAGAATGACCCAGGCCTGTGAGGGTCAGGGGTCATGGAGGGCCAGAGGTCACAGCGATGAGGAAGGATCAGAGAGGGCACTTCCAAGGAGGTTCCTGAGCCTGGGCTGTGGCTGCCACAGGACGGGTGCAGCCTGGGTGTTACTGCTGACCTAGCCCTGTGAGGGGGGATGGGCAGGGCAGATGGGCCAGGGAGGACAGCTCTGAACAGACCCACGGGGAAGCCTGGAGGGGTGGCTAAGGGGGCCTGTGCTTGGGAGCCTCGGTGCGGGTAGGGGTCCCAGGGTAACCAGCCCTCTCTCCTCTCCCGATTTCCTCCTCAGGTACCACAAGGTGGGCATCCTTGTGCTCTTCCTGCATGACATCAGTGACGTACAGCTGGAGTTCACCAAGCTCAATGTCTACTTCAAGTCCCGCGGAGGATCCCACCACCGGCTTCACGCCCTGGCTGCAGACCTGGGCTGCCTCAGCTTCAGCCTCAGCTGGTGAGCCGGCAGGGGAGGAGGCGGGCCTAGTGGAAGGGGAGGGGACCTGGTGGAGGTAGGCGGGACCAGGCCGGGAAGGAAGTGGGGCTTATGAGAGTGGGTGGAGCCAAGCAGGAAGGAAGTGGGTCCTAGAGAGGCGGGTGGGCAGGGAAAGGGTGGGTCCTGGTGAGGTGGGTGGGGGCTTGGCGAGGTGTGGGGGGGGCCAGACAGGGCCAGGGTGACGTGGGCGGGGCCTGGTGGGATAGCAGAGGGCGCGAGTTGGGAATAAGCAAGCTGGGCAGGAAAGGACAGAACAGGAATGGAGACAGCTGGGCAGGAATGAACAAGGGTGGGGTAAGGAGACATGGATGGGTGGGGATGCGCAGGGGCAGATGGATGAGTCCAGACGGGACAGGACAGGGACTGGGGGGAAGGGAGGGGGCTCCCCTCCCCCTCTCCCCCACAGCCTCCTCGACCCGCCCCTCCCTCCTGCAGGTTCTGGTTCCGCCTCTACTGGTTCCCGCTCAAGGTCCTGTATGCCACGAGCTACTGCAGCCTGCGGTCGGTGCCTGACATCCCCTTCTATTTCTTCTTCAACGCACTCCTGCTGTTGCTCACGCTCATGAACCTCTACTGGTTCCTGGTGAGTTGGCGCTCACAACTCCTCACCACCCCCTTCTTCTCAGATGCCAGTCCTGTCCCGGTCCCTGTCCCCAAGGAGCGCCCCAGGTGCATGCCCTTCTCACGCACTCCCAGGGAGGAGGGGCATGTTAGGCAACGTGCAAAGGGCCAGTGGCAGGAGCACCCAGCCATCAGGAGGGCAGCGAGGTCGGGGACGGGGCTCTCTTCTCACCTGTGCCTTCCCCTCCCACAGTACATCGTGGCTTTTGCTGCCAAGGTGCTGACGGGCCAGGTGCGCGAGCTGAAGGACGTGCGGGAATATGACACAGCAGAGGCCCTGAGCCCGAAGCCCAGCAAAGCTGAGTGAGTGTGGAGGGGCCCCCAGCCCTAGTTCATTCCTTAACCACATCTGTCTGATCGAGCGCGCTCTGTGGGTAGGTCCTGGAGACACGGCAGCGGATGAGGCTGATGCCGTCGCTGCCCCGCCGGAGCCTGCATCCAAAAGAGAGACTGCAATAAAGGCATGCACGATGTAGCGACAGAGTTAGATGCTGTCAGGACAGACAGCGAGGAAGGTGGGGGTCGAGAGGTGAGGGGTGAGAATCAGGGTCTCAGTGGTGGGAGCCGTGAGGGCCAGGCCCAGTGCTGAGGATCAGCTGTTTTCCAGGCCTGACAGCAACCTCTAAGCAGGTGGCAGTGGAAGGGGGCGGTGAGGGGGTGCCATGGGCGGCCCAGGGAGCCCGGGCTCTGTTCGTGCTAATACTCCCTGGTCCAGCGGGGCAACCACTGGTCAGCCAAGCAGGAGATGGGGCCGGAGCTTCGGGCCCAGGTGGGAGTCGTAGGGATGACGAGCCAAAGGGGCCTCTTCGACCGTCCTGGAGGTAGGGGCCTCGGGACTGCCAGCCCTGGGATGTGAGCCAGATGGCGCCCAAAGCCCCTGGCCTGGAGGGGCCCCAGGAGTGAATGGAGGCAGGTTGGGATGACCAGCAGGTTGCAAGGTGTGCAGCGCCCCACAGTCAATGTGAGGAGTGGTTGAGCAGCAGTGAGATGGGGGCTGCTGAAGGCTCACAGGGCGCTCCCCAGCAGACCCTCTGATTTGGCCCCTGGGAGGTCATCAGTGACCAACCTGGGAAAGATGGTTTCGGGGCAGCAGTGGGCTCAGAGTGCAATGAGGTGTGGGTCAGAATGAGCAGGGAGGAGGATGAGAGAAGCAGAGATTTTTAAAAAATGTCCTTGAAAGACATGAGAAGGGGAGCAAAGAACTGGGGGAACTTCCAGAGCAGCCAAAAAGCCAGCACCCAGGTTAGAGAGGAGTTAGGCAGGTGAGCAGGGATTGTGGACACAAGAGGGCTGGGCAGCAGGTGAGGTAACCCCAGCGGTCAGATCCCAACTCTGTTGTAGAACTAACCAGACTTGCTTTGGATGTAGGTGAAATAGAAATAAAAAATTCAAAGATGACCCAAGACCTCTGGCTCGAGCTGCCATTTACCGAGATGGGACTCAGGGCAGGGCCATGTGCACCGGTGGGTGTAGGGGGTTGGGAGTCTAGTTTTGAGGGTGTTGGATTGTCGATGTCCAGCGAACATGAGTTGGGAATTGCGCATAGAGATCAGTGAGGTCTCACCAAGGAGTCTGACCAACCCTCAGAGGCTTCCAGAAGAAGCAGTGATTAAAGAGAACTCCAGGGGTGAGGTTGGGGAGGCACCTGCTTGGCTAAATCTAAAACTGAAAGACCTTTCTGCTGTAAAACAGTGAACTCCTAGAGATGTCCTTTAAAGGCAGAGCCCAAGGCAAAGAGCAAGCCAGACCACCTAGCTCCACCCTGCTCCCTGCTCTGTCACCCCCAAGAATGTCCAGCCAGAATGTGAGTTGGGAGGCTGGCGCCTCCAGCCCCAAATGACAGCATTCCCACTAGGATGGCAAAGAAAAAACTCCATACAGAAATGACAGGGGACTGGGGACATGCTGCCATGGTTGGCCCCATGGGCACCACCCGCAGAACCTGGTCCCTAAGGATGGCTAGAGTTAGCACAGTTGGGTATAAAACAAGATGGGATAAAAAGCAATGAGAATGTGGAACGTGCCACAAAAGAGCTGGACAGGACACCTCAAAATCGTCAGATCATGGAAAACAAGAGACTGAGGAACCGTCTCAGCTCAGATTGACTGAATGCAATGTGGGATCCTGGACCAGAAAAGGGACATCTGTGGAAAAACCGGTGAAATTCAAATAAAGTCTATCGTTTAGCTCATAGCAATGTTCTAGCATTGGTTTCTTAGTTGTGATAAATGCACTGTGGAGATATAAAATGTTAACGTTTGGGGAGACTTGGGCAAGGGCTACCCTGGAGCTCTTTATGCTATCTCTGCAAATCTAAAATTATTCTAAAATGAAAAGTTTATTAAAAATGTAAAAGGCATGAGAGACCATCAAAAACAGCATTGGATGTTAAATATATTTCTTTCCTAGGGCTGCCGTAACAAAGTACCACAAACTAGGGGGCTTAAAACAACAGAGGTTTATTCTCTCACAGTTCTAGAGACCAGAAGTCTGAAATGAAGGTGTCAGCAGAGCCACTCTTGCTCTGAAGGTCTAGGGGAGGATCCTTCCTTGCCTCTTCCAGTTTCTGGGGGTTCCAGATGTTTTTTGGCTTGTGGCTGCATCACTCCAATCTCCATTTCCTGTCTTCACGTGGTCTCTTCTCTCTGGCTCTTTTCTCTTATAAGGACATTTGTCATTGGATTTAGACCACTATGATCCATCCCAAATTCCTTCACTTAATTACATCTACAAAGACTCTTTTTCCAAATAGAGTCAGTCACAGTTCTAGAGATTAGGATGTGGACATATCCTTTTAGGGACCACCATTCAACCTATTATAGATGTCAAGTGTCCAACGATTAGATACAGCTGAAAAGAGAATCAGTGAATTGAAAGCTGCAGAGAAATTACCTAGGATGCAGCCTAAACAAATGGAAAATATGACAGCTAGAATAGTAAGAATTATGTGGCTGAGACCTAATAGGAGATAGATAGACAGGGAGAGACAACATGAGAAGACGTAATGCTGAGAATTTTTCCAGAAAGTGACAAGACATAAATCATAAGCAGGATGAATACAAAGGCATCCGGGCCCCAAACACATCATAGTGAAATGTGAAACAGCCACAGAAAAGAAGAGATGACCTACGAAACAGTGAGAGACTAACAGCAACAAGGGAAGCTGGAAGACTGGAGTCAGATATCACCTCAAATGCTGAAAGGAAGTAACAAGAAACCGGGACTCTTATACACAACTTTAAAAACAGTTACTCAAGAGAAAGGATGCCCGTTGGCTTGCATGAGATCCTGGGTTTGGTCCCCAGCATCCCCACCAAAAAAAAAAAAAAAAAAAAAAAAAAAAAAAAAAAAAAAAAAAAAAAAAAAAAAAAAAAAAAAAGGATATCTGCAGGAACAAAAACTAAGAAGGCTTACCATTCACAGATCTTCTCTAGGAGAATATTTCAGAAAACTACCCCAAGAGATAGATCAGCAGAGAAATTGATAACATATTCTGGGTAAAAAAATTTTTAAACGCATAATTTGAGAGATTTTAAAAAATTAGAGCTGAAATATTTAATATTATTGAAACAGGATTGGTGGCTTTGCATTTTGCAGGAGGGTAGGGCATTACCTTTGGGCTATATTGACTATTTATGTTAACACTATTAGGGTGTCGGGGGAGAATGGAACCAAAAACAGGTACAACAAAGTAAATGCAGGAAAGGAAAGCTAGAAAAAGCAGGGTAAGTAATACAGAATGAGGGTAGAATCTCAAATATTGGGCATGCAAATAAACACACATGGAATAATCATGACAATTATGAGACTGGGCTTTTAAATAAATCCACCTCTGACCTGGTTAAAAGACTTCAACTCCAGGATAAATAAAAGTTGTAAGTAAAAAGACAGGAGGAGAAAGTCAGGTGTAATTTTTGATATGAAAGGATCCGCATGATGCAGCCCTAAACCGTAGCGAGATGGGACCACGGGAGGTAAAGTCCGTGCCCCTCATCAGGCAGCTCCGAAGCAAGAACAGATGTTCTTTTTAAGCACGGGAACACTTCTCAAAATTGAAAAAAAGCAGGGGCAACCTCAGCTGCTCAGAACCAGGATCGTGCAGACCATGTATGATGAAAATGCAGTTAGATTTGAAAACAGTAAGAAAACAATGACTGAGAACCACTTTGAAGGACCCCGGAGTGGAGAACAAATCACGTGGCAAAGCAGCACTGAGGCCTTCTTTGCTCCTGCTGGTTCTCTCTTCTGAACCCCCCTCCATGGGGCCCCTCCTGGACCTCTGTCTTCGGCCCCCTGCAGTGGCCCCCGCACCCTGGTCACGACCTCAGTCTGAAGCCCCCATCGTTCTCTTGGGCTGCTGGGACCGCCATCCATCGGGGGCCCTCACCCCGCTCTGGGTCTGCTGACCTGCCTGAGGCTACCCCACCCCTCCGTACACCGGCTTTCTCCTCCGTGACACTCTCAGCTGCCCCCGCTGTATCTGAAGAGCCACGACCCGCACATCTGGTCCTCGCTGCAGCACTAACGGGGGCCAGGGGTCCTCAGCGATGCCTGGGGCAGTGCCTGATCTCCTGAGACTCTTCCTTCTCCTCGGCCACCAACTGTCCTCACCATTGCCCCCTCACCCGATGACTTGGCCTCCGTGTCCCCAGGAAAGCAGGGGTAGCCGGATGAGGACATCCACCCTCTAGTGCTGGCTGGCTGCTTTGGTAGATGGTCCGTCTCCCTCTGAGGCCGCCATCCCAGGCCACCGACGTCCACCCCTTTGCCTGCTCAGGGACATTCTGATCAAGAAGAGAAACCTCTCTCCGCCCCACTTACAGCACAGCACCCCCTTCCCCTCCCTTCTCGAACCCAGCTTCCTCTGGGGTCTTCCCCCCACCACCCCGAGACCACTCCTGTCCGCTCCACTGATGCTAAACAAATCTGGTGGTCACTCCCCCCCGCCTTTTTTTCAACAGTTTTATTGAGATGGAATTCACACACCATGCAATTTGCCCATTTGCCGTGTAGAAGTCAATGTTTTTAGTCCATTCACAGAGTTGTGAACCCATCACTGCGGTTTTAGAACATTTTTGTCACCCCCGCAAAAGAAACCCCATACCCAACCCAACCTCTCCTTTTGCAATCGCCAGTCTGCCTCTGCTCCCTGCTTCAGTTTCTTTCTTTCTTTCTTTCTTTTTTTAATATTTATTTACTTACTTGGTTGCACTGGGCCTTAGTTGCGGCTCACAGTCTCCTTAGTTGCGGCACGTGGGCTCCCACTTCGCTTTTTAGTGCCTTCCTGCTCCACGTCTGGCCTCCCCCTCTCCCAGGGCCCTTTTACCTAATCCACCCCGACTTGCAAGTTTCTCTCCCAGCTCACAGTGCTCCTCTGAGTGCCATTGTCTGTGTCAGTGTCTGCTTGACATTCCAAGCACCTTCTGAATATCCAGAATCAACCCCCATTCCCACCACAAACTACCTCTCGTGAACATTTGTCCATCGCAGTTGATGGCAACTCAGGGTGAAAACCTTGCAAAACCTTAGGGAGCCCCCCTTCTCTCCCTCTCCTCCTTATCCTCAAGGAAACATCCAGAATCCACCTGAGTCTCTGCCTGCCCACATCCCCCTGCAGCTTCCACCCTCGTCCTGATTTTCTCTTTCCCGCTGTGGTGCACTGAGACGAAAAAGTGTAAATCTGATTCTGCAGAGAGGCCATCTCGCCCTAGTTGGGTACTCCCCTCCCCCGCAAATACACTGTTTTTGAGGAGGGAGGGGGGCACTTGGAAGCTTGTGCAGAAAAACAAACCAGAATCACCACAGGAAAGCTCTGATAAAGAGGCACAGGGCGGGGGTACGGATCCTTGGAGGTAGTAAACCTTCTATAGAAGTATAGGAATTAAAACAGTGGGAACAGAGCTGAGCCCATCAAACTTGAGCAAAGAAGGATCCCGGGAGGGAAGGAAGAACTGTCAGTGGGACGCTTGCTTGGTAACCATCTTTATCTCGCATGAGCCCCCAGTGCAAACTCCCAAAGCGTCAAAGATGTTGATGCAGAAATGGAAGCTGTGAAATCAAACAAGAGTCGAAATGAGAGACTGTGCCGTCCAGCAACTGAACTATGAGAAGACTCAAGAAGCTGGGAACCCCACCTCTGCTCTGTCTAAAAGACCAACAGGCAAAGCTGAAGATATAGGACAGATGGGAGGTCCATGGGGGGCTTATCTCTGATCTCCCAGATAAAGGGCTCCCGCGGTGGCAGCGAGAGAGAGCAGCAGCCCACGGAGAAGTGGGCCGAGGGGGGGAGGTGTGCTCCCAGGAAGGGGCATCCAGTGGCTCCAGCCCCAGGGAAGAGCAAACTAAAGTGACTGAGACCATCTTCTCCAGGAAAGTCTTTACGTTCTCATATGGAACGGTCTCCGAGCTAGAGTGCTCCACAAACCAAAGGGCTGCAGGATACAGTAATGCACATATGCTAGTATCTGAGGATACACAGAAGTCAAAGGGTGGTAGCTCCCTAGGAGCCGCTCGGTTGAACTGTGAGTTTTCTATGCTTTCTGAGGTCTAGATCGTGAGAATATATTACTGGCTCAGAAAACTTAATACAGTTGTACGTAAACTAGACTGTAGAGTTCACTTCAGCAGAGACTGATGGACCATGTGCAAAGGCACGAAGAGTTCTCATACGTGGGAATAGGAATGGTCAATGGCCGTGACCGTAAGACTGCGGGGAGATGCTGCCTTGGCATCAGCAGGCTGGCCAGTTAAACAGGACACAACACCGAGCAAGTGATGGCAATAGCAGTGCGGGGCCGGGGTAGACCTGTTGAGTCCAGTAAGGTGAGCCTGGGCAGATCCCCTCCCAGTCAGAACCCCAGAGACCTGCCACTAACACAGGCAGGGAAGATGGAATTAAGGAGAGCATCAGTGCACATGGGAGTGATCTCGGTGGCACATTTTTGGAAAATTGAGGTGCAGGAGAAGACATCTTTATGGACAATTTGAAATATGCAAACCATGAACGTTGTTTAGACGTTAGGGGTCTTTCTCTGGGATCTTACAGTACTGATTCGTTTTAAAACACTACATAACTTGTTTTAAGGACATGGAAGCAAAGTAGGGGCTGCGGCAGGTGTAGACAGAGGGCAGTGGATGGAGAATCATGGGCTGGGAAGCCTTTCCTGGTAGGGCCATTGTAATTGGGGAGGAGCCTGCCCGGTGGGATCGCCGGGGGCTCTGGCCAGTTCTGCCTCCCTGGGAGAGGAGGAGGATAAAGTGCTGGTCCAGGTCCGGTCCAGGTGATGGGCTTAAATCAGGCAGAGGTTGGTAGGTGACTTTTGCCCGCCAGCAGCCGCGGGTGGCCCAGGGGGAAGGGGAGAGGAAGGTTTAATTGTGGGAAGGAGCAGGGACCCCTTGCCCAGCAGGCAGATGGCAGCGTCTTTTGGCCTTGAGGGCTGGGAGGAAGAATGGGGCGGGGCTGGGAAAAGGAGGGCAAGGAGGGCGGGACGGTGGTGGGAGGCGCTACGTGGTGGCGTGGGGTCCCTAGGCTAACCTGGGCCGGTTCTGGCTCGCAGGAAGCCGCTCAGGAATGGACTGGTTAAGGACAAGCGCTTCTGAACCCCTCGACCCCG